AGACTATTAATTAATAAACAGGTTCCATGAATCTAAAATGCTTCCTTCTGTATAGAAAAAGATAGCATGGTTTTAAACAAAGCAGCTTCCTACAGGATTGCAAAAATCTCTATTAGCAACATATCTGACAGAGGGTCTGTGTCTAGAATATACAAGTAAATTAAAAAATTAACCACCAGGAAAACAACCCAATTCAAAATTTGTGGCATGGGTCAGATTATTCACACAAAGAGAAATACAAATTGTAGAGAAACATTTTTTTAAAAATATTCAACATCCCTTGGTGTTAGGGACAAGAAAATTAAAACTTCTTTAAGATTTCATTTTATCCCCATCAGAATAGTTAAGATCCAAAACAAAACAAGCAGACAAACAAAAGATAAATGACAACAAATGCTGGCATGGATGTGGGGAACAGGAACAATCACTCACTTCTACAGAAATATGTGTGGAGGTTCCTAAAAATATTGGTAATAGAGCTATTATGAGTCCAGTACTATCACTCTTGGGCATACCCTCAAGGAGTCTAAATGCTGCTATCTAGAAACTTGCATGTCCATGTTTATTGTTGCTCTATTTAGAATATCTAGGAAATTGTAATAGTATAGATATCCATCAACTGATGGATACATAGTAAAACCTGTAAATATACACAATATTTTTAGCTGGTAAGAATAATACAATTGCCATAGTCTCTGTGGAATCATATGTGTATCAGTCCTGTTGTATGTGGAAGATACTATTTCCTTGGAGTCATCCACTATCATTAGAACTGTATAAGTTTAAAGCAGAAAAATTGCAGCACTGAGAAAGGAAAGTGAACACCAAGTTCCACCCCTATCCAAGAATCTATTTGGAATTTATACCTGGTAAAATTGGAAAGTCAATTTTCTACAGTGAAGTATCACTGGGTGTATCAAACACACCCAGAGATGGACTCATGGTCAGAAATCATTGGAGAACCACAAATGGACACCATTTTTTTTCCTTTTTCAATTTCCCATGAGATTGTTGTTTCATTTTCTATGGTATTGAAATTATTTAATATTCTTTTTTTGATGGTTTATTTTTTGTTTGTTTGGATTTTCACTTTTGTCTTGGGGTACACTAGGGAAGAGAGAGAAACAAAAAGAGGAAATTGAGAGGAAGAAAATGTATTTTGGTGAGTAGGAAAGCAGGGAGAATCTGAGAGCAATAACAGGAGAGGAAAACATGATCAAAATAAATTGCATAAAAATTTAAATAAAAATGTGTCTTTTAAGAAATGTTAGGTAATTGCTTTATAACTGGAAACAATCATTCTAAGTGAAGTAACCCAGATCCAGAGAAAGAAAATGTTATACTTCTATGGTTTGTGACTGTTAGCTTTGAATCTTTAGATGTGAGTGTTTCATTATAGGATATGGTGATATTAAGTGTAGAAAGAGAGTAATGGAATGGGAAGGGCCAAATGGGGAAGGAGTTGCCTAGTGGAATGACCAGGTAGATCAGTAATAAAGGGATGAATAATTAACACTAAGGGCATTCCAAAAAAGTCAGACATAACTCTAATACTATAGAAGCTTCCTAAAGTATATGCATACACACATATAAAGAGTCTAAATGGAGTTGCTGCATAATAGGCAACTATGCCCCACTAGACAACACAGGATGACAAAAAAAAAGTCCAGCAGCAGGGATGGATTATTCCTTTTGCGGTTGTTGACAAGTGATGTACTATAGACTCCCAAACATTACTAGCTATTGCCAATGCTTTTGTTAACCTTCTAGAATTCCTTGGTTAGACCCAAATTGCTGAAGATACCCCACATTTGAGACACAGCAAATGGAAAGATAAATCTGGTACTCAGCTTGAAGTTTCATCCCTTCTGGCTAGCTTTCAGAGTGCTGGAAGGTGCTGTGCATGCTACTGGAGGAGGAAAGGAATCACCAGTCTTACTCAACTGTTAATACTTAGAGTTACAGTAACGACTGACCTGGCAACACATGCCCACTGGTGCAATAGCAACATAAAACATTGTATAGAACTCTCAAAGAACTAATAAAAATTAATAAAAATAATAGAGAGAAAGTAATTTTAGTTAAAACACTAAAATAGTCATCAGAGTATACAGCTTGATAATAAAGCCCATGATGGTGCCCTTTCTTTTTAGGAAACAAATCACACTGTAAACATGTAAAAATTAGCCCCATAATGCTCTAGGTTAATACACTTTTAGAAATACATTTTTACCCAATGGAGATTGAGAGCCCAATATCGCCAGCTTTGGCAAGCATTAATGTAAGCCTAGGAACTATAGCCATGATATTGGATTCTCCAGAAGAGCTGCCAGCTAAAGTTGTGCTGGGATCAAGAAAATGGGCCTTGGCGGTTTGTGTTACTGGAGTTGTATCCATGCCAGTGGATGTCCACACACTCGAGAAGAGAATTTGACATTGCTGCTGCCGCTGTTGCAGTTATAGCAATGGTGGCCACCGCTGCTACTGTTTTTGGGATTACCATTTCATAATTGCTTACTACAGCTAGCACAGTGGAGACCCTAGCAACAAAAGTAGCTACCATAGTTAGTTAATTTTCCATTCTATTGGGCATGATAAATTTAATTCAGTACTTATATACATCTCGATTGGCTTTGAAAATTATAAATTTATAAACTCAAGCTCCAGTTGCTTTTGGGATACTATCTTACAAGGACTCCAACATACAGTATGGCTCATTAAGGAAGGGAATGGCTCAGTTGCCTTTAGCCTACTGTCTATGGGTGGGATAGGACCTCTGTGGGTCTTTTCTGTGTTGAACACACAGATTGCAAGCCCAGTGCCACTTTGAGATCTTTGGCAGCAGTTAACTGTGCAGCTCACACACGATTGAGCCTGTATGATAATGAGTACTCAGAGACGGTAATGCCTGGGGGGCACTCACCAACCAAAGACAGAGCACCTGTGTGGCCTGGGCAGGAGTCTCCATGACGGGTAAGGTGACCTGCTGACGTCCCATGCAACCCAAGTCAGAAAATCATTTTTTAATAAAAGGGGGACCTGCAGGGCCCTGGCCCCTGTTTTGGGTAACTGTTGCCTTGCTTGCGGACCTTGACCTTGATATCCTCCCTATGCTAATTCCCTGCCAGGTCCACCCTCCTGAATGCAAAGGGAAGTTCCTTGTCTGTGTATCCTGAATAATAGGTGTTAACAGCTTAGATGCAAGATTGTAAAACATCAGTAGTGAACTTCTGCCCTCTGGGGTCCTCCCATTGTGCTGTAAGCCTGTAATTAAGACCTCCTACCCCCTTCAAGAAATGGCATTCGGCATTTAAAATTTATATATATATATATACATACTGTGAATGTAATCTATGAATACCACAAATGTGATTAATATCATGAGTGTAATTAATGAATATCATGAGTATAATTTAAAAAATAAAAATAAAAAAACAACAAAAAAGAAATACATTTTTACAACCAAGAAGAAAATGGAAAATTCAGAAACCCAACATGAGACCTGCAGTTTCAAGAAGAGACCAATGACTCTGCATCTTCCTTCCATTGAGAACTTGACCTCTCTGAAGACAATGGCTTATATTTGCATTAATTTTCCTTTGGAAATGTGGAGAAAAGTATTAACCAAGACCTAGATGGGATCTATTGGTACTTACTTGTAAGAGTTTCTTCTGGAGCAGGTTTATTATAGCCTAGAATATAGATGACAGGTAAGACAAAGGGAGAGCACAGGAAAGGATTCTGCATGCTTTTGTGCATATGGCACAACAACACCCTTATATACATTAGTGAACATATGTACACATTATGAGATCTAGTAAATCATCCTGGAGAAGAATTTCCTGGTATTTCAACTATTCATCTCTTTCCGTACCTCTAGAATGTTCCCAACAGGTCCTTACAAAACCCATTTTCATACCTCACTTCCATAATATTATGCATCAATACGCACCATTATCTTTCTTTCTATTCTGTCACTATATATCCATCCAGATGATCCTTATTGAGCATTTGCTATGGGTAGTACTCCATTTTCATTTGAAGCATATATTATGAACAGACAAAAATAAAAAATAAAACACAGGTTGTGCCCCTCCCCACCAAACTGCACTTCAACATTTGAAAAAAGGTACAGATGAAAGTTATTTGTTCTTTCAATCAGGCATAAAGTGTGGTTTATAATAAATGCTGAATAGAAAATGAGAAGAGGCTGGAAATTATACACAAGTCCTTGCAATGGCTTAATTAAACAGACTGGATATATGAAGCTGCACCTTGAAATTTCTATTGGTCAAAACTCATTGTAGAAAAGGCAGTCCTTTTTAGCTCTGTGCTTTGTTTCCTTTCTTTGTTTAAATTCAAAGTAATGTAGATACACTGTATCTTCTTGCCAAGTTCATGGAGTATTGTGGTTAAGTGGCTTGGCAATTGACAAGACATGGAGACATTGAACTGACAATTCTCTTGTGTGCAAGCAAGTTTCTCTATCTGGTTAGTTAGATAGAAAGAGAAAGTATAAATAAATATGGGTACCCAAAACATTGTGATACATTCCTGGATACAAAAAGAAGTAGAAATGAAGCTCAGGAAATGTATTTCTATCCCTTTGCTTGCTGACTTTCCACACAATAATGAACATAGGGCAAACCTTCTTGCTAGGCTACTTGTGTGTGCTTCTTGAATTTTTGAAAAAAGGTGATAAGAACATGCAATAAACTGGTATTGGCAGTATTATAAATATTATTGATAGAAATAGAAAAAAATAAAGGATGCCTAGGCAATATTCCACAGCAAACCACAAAGAAATTTACCATTGACATATAAACTGTCCTTGTCCAGTGAGTAGTTGCCCAGCTGGGTGATTCCTTGGGTTAGATTTTTCAGTTCTGAGTACAGTCCTTGGATGTCCATCCCAGGATGTGAAGGGTCATGGTGGTAGGTGCAGATGGCATCCACACCAGTGGCTGTTCCATTCTTCTTAGGCCTAGAGAGAGAGGAGTGTGGAGATTTCAGAAAAGTCAAAATGAAGATCAGAACCAGAGGGAAGAACTAGGAATGAGAATGATAACAATAAGCAATGGTCATTCCTGGCCAATGGTCAGGAAGTAGCCTCACCTGAGGGAATCCAATCTGCAGGTTGAGTTGAAGGAGCCATTTTGGAACAAGTGTCCAAGCTGTGGATGGTGAAGGAGGAGGGAAATGAAAACAGGCATTGAAAAGGAGGTCATATGGGATTTATCTCCCTCACACTGCTTGGATAAGGTTCTCACCAGGTACTGCAGGACACTCTCAGTTGAGCTGAACACAGCTGAGCCATTGCTCATATTTGATGAATATGGAAGATTGGTTATGGTGAAGTTGATTGTTAGGATCTCCAGATGGTGCCCCATTGCTGCATGAAGAGAAGAGATACAACTGAAAATTTGCTGATACCAGAGTAGAATCCTGTTCTCATCAGTTTTTCTTCACTTCAAATCTCTAACCATATCCTAAAGTATCCAGTCAGGTTAGAGCCTACATATCTTCTTAATTCCGTATCACATCTGAATGTTCCTCACATTAATTACCTCTTCATTCTAGCATAGGTTTTATGACCAGAATTTTTTTCCTTCAGACTCATTGGATGCTCTATCTAAAGATGTTCTCCATCCTGAGTAGTAAGGACATCTTTCTGAAATTAAAATTCTCCCTAGAAATGTTCATAGTCCATTAATACCCGTTATTCCATGTGTACTTTCAGTGGTAAGTACAAGCTTGCAGATTTGACACTTGTGTTGGCTGATATTGGTTGTCATGTATTCACACTTAGGAAGAAGAATTAAAGAATTTCTTCTATCATGACTGACCTTTGGGCATATCTTTGGGTCATTTTCTTGATTGCTATTTGATATAGGAGACCCAGTCAAATATGAGAAGTACCACCACCAGGCAGGTGGTTTGCAATATACAAGAAAACTAGCTGATATGAACCTGAAAGTAATCCAGTATGTAGCATATCCCCATGGTTTGCTTTAGGACTTTTCTCTAGCTTTCTGCCTTATTTGGCTTCCCTTAAGTATAGACTGGGACATGGAACTGTAAGTTGAAATAAACTCATACTTCCCCAAGTTCCTTTAGACTGTAACATTTATCACAGCAACAGAAAGCATACTACAACAGCTTTCAAGTCATCTTCCACTGACATCCATTCTCATTTATTCATCCACCCTGAGCCTCCCAATTGACCCAGTAGGTGCTAGGCAGGACATAGAGAGGCTGCACTGGGAGCATGATTCATGGAAATCAAAATCCTCTCAATTCTACTTATCCACTTTAGTATTACTGGTCACTGAGCCCTAATATTGAAATCCTCATTTCCTGGAACATTTCATTCTTAGTTTATCTGGATGACTCCTACTCATCCTGAGAGATTCAGTTCAGGAGGAATTTTGCTCAGAAAGCCTTCTCCTTTCCACATTATGTTATATGCCTGTTACCTCCATACTGCCCCCGCCCCACACTAGAAATACTTTTAGTAGTCTCTTTGTCTCACATGCATTTTGGTTACATGTGAGAGTGTATCTAGTTTGATTGTTAGTGTGATCCGAGTACATATGAAGATGACCCTGACACTAGGATCTTCATATATTGGTGCCCTAGCTCTATCTGGAAGACAGATGGTGGAGGTGTGGGACAGGGGATCTAATCAAAGGTAGGCAATGGGACTTCACCATACCTGTGTCAGGTTCTGGCTGCAGAGATATAGATATAGAAGGTAGGATAGTGGTGGATGTCTCAGGAGCTGTGGAAAGAATTATCATAGTTGAAATCCACATTTCCAAGAACATTTCATGTTTCATTTTTTTCTGGAATGTTCTTACTCATTCTGATAGATTCAGTTCAGGAGGAATTTGTCTCAGAAATTCTTCCTTTTTTTACATTAAATAAAGACTGTCTATAGTAAGAGAGTTTTTTCTAGCTAAGGTCAGAGAGAGGCACAACTACCATTCACAGGTGAACCATGAACTACACTGAAAAGTGATTGTGTGAGTGAAGAAGTGAACAAGCCTATGAATGGAATTAACCCAAGATGTTGCATTTAGTGACTAGCATAAAGGATGAGCAAAGAACACAGATGGATTATGATGATATAAAATAGAAAGGATAAATGGATTGATGGACCGAAAGTTATGTAAAGGAAGGGTCAAAATGGAATTCAAGAAGAGTCAAATCAAAGACAATATGGAGAGGTAGAAGAATGAGAGAAAAAAGGTCAACTAAGTGAATGAATTGATTCAACAAGTAAACAAGTGTGTGCGTGCATGCATGTATGTATGTGTTTGTGTATATGTTTGTCTGTGTTTGTATGACTCAATGGGCAGATTATTGCATAGCTATATAAATATATTGATGAGCTTTAAATAGATGTGTAGGTGGATGGATGAGTAGCATGGATGGTACTGCATTCATGGATACATGAATGGATTGATATGTGTATTCACAGGAGAAAGAAGGAGAGTGAATACTAAGAAGCCAAGTAAAGAGAAGAAATAGGTGTGTAAAAAGTTGAATATACTGAAAGATACATAGGAAGTAGCTAACAGAAGAGTTGGTGGTCATGCAGGTCTTGAATATGTGGATATATAGGCAGATATGTAGTTGATGAAAAGTCAGGTGGATATATGTATGAATGGATAAAGGAAAAAAGAAGAAATAAAGTATGAGCTTTAAAATGAACAATAGTGCCGGGCGGTGGTGGCGCACGCCTTTAATCCCAGCACTCGGGAGGCAGAGCCAGGCGGATCTCTGTGAGTTCGAGGCCAGTCTGGGCTACCAAGTGAGCTCCAGGAAAGGCGCAAAACTACGCAGAGAAACCCTGTCTCGAAAAACCAAAAAAAAAAAAATAAAATAAAATAAAATGAACAATAGTATTGGTTTATCAGTGAAAGTGGTGAGTGATGAATTAAATCATAAATAAAGGAATGAGAGAATAGAAACAAAGGAAATATAAAAGAATGGGCAAGAGAATGGATGGATGGATGGATGAATGGATGGATGGATAGGTAGATAGATAAATGGATTGGCCAATAATGAATGGACCTTGGATGGGTAAATGATAGATGGATTGATGGAGTGTAGTATGTGTTCAGGAATATTTAGAAAAATGAAAGTATAAACATCTGGAAAGATAAATGATGAATAGTCCAATGAACACCCAATTAACTCCAAATGATTAAACAACTTTTATATAAGTCCTGGTACCCTGATATAATTTAGGAGAAAATGTGGAACACACTTAAACTTACTGGCACAGGAAAGGGTTTGGGGACAGAACCTCAATAGCCTAGTCTTAGAGACTAATAATTAATAAACAGGTCCACTGAATCTAAAAAGCTTATCTACAGAAAAAGATAGCATTATTTGAATAAAGCAGCTTCCTACAGAATGGCAAAAATCTTTATCAGCTACAAATCTGATAGAGTTTATGTCTAGAATATACATATAAATAAAAAAATAACAATCAAGAAAACAACCCAACTGAAAGATAAATTGTGGAGAAACCTTTTTTAAAAAAATGTTCAACATCCCTTTTTATCAGGGAAAAGAAAATGAAAACTTCTTTAAGATTTCTTCTTACCCCTATCAGAATGGCTAAGATCCAAAAGCAAAACAAAACAAACAAATACTTAAAAAAGAAATGACAAAAAATGCGGGCATGGATGTGGGTAACAGGAGCAGTTATTCACTACTGGGGATGTAACCACTACAGAAACACGTGTGGAGGTTCCTAAAATGCTAGTAATAGATACACTGAGATCCAGCGTTATCACTCTTGGGCATACACTCAAAGGAGTTTAAATGCTACTATCAAGAAACATGAATATCCATGTTTGTTTCTGCTTTATTCTAAATATCTAGAAAAGTGTAACAATCTAGATGTCCATCAACAGACAGATAGATAATAAAAATGATACTTTCTCTCAATATTTTTAAGCTGGTTATAATACAGTTGCCATAGTTGCCTTGAGTTCATATGTGTATCAGTCCTGTTGTATCTGGAAGATTCTATTTCATTGGATTCATCTACAGTCCTTTGACCTGTATTATTTTATTTTATTTTATTTTTTTTTTTTTTGGTTTTTCGAGACAGGGTTTCTCTGTGTAGCTTTGTGCCTCTCCTGGAACTCACTTGGTAGCCCAGGCTGGCCTCGAACTCACAGAGATCCACCTGGCTCTGCCTCCCGAGTGCTGGGATTAAAGGCGTGCGCCACCACCGCCCGGCTTGACCTGTATTATTTTAAACCAGACCAAATTACAGCAGTGATAAAGTGAAGTGGACACAAAGTTCTACCCCCAGGCAAGAAACTACTTGCAATTTATACCTGCTAAGAAAGGGAAAATCAGTTTTCTGCAGTGGAGTGTCACTGGGCATATCAAACACACCCAAAGATGGAATCATACCCAGAAATAGATGGAGAATCAAAATTGGACACCATTTTTTTTCATTTTTAAATATGGTATGAGGTTTTTTTTTTGTTTCATTTTCATTTGTTTTGAATTTATTTGTCTTATTGATTTGGGTTTTTTTTTTTTTGGTTTGGATTTTCATTTTTGTCTTTTGGGTACTTTGGGGGAGAGAAACAAAAAGATGAAATAGAGAGGAAGAAAAGAAATTTGAGTGAGTAGGTCAGTGGGAAGAACCTGAGAGCAAAACTGGGAAGGGAAACATGATCAAAATTGCATAAAAATTTAAATAAAAAATGCATCTTTTTGAAATGTTCAGGTAATTGTTTGGCACTGGAAACAATCATATTAGGTGAAATAACCTCAATTCAGAGAAACAAAGTCATACTTTTTTTTATGGTTTGTGGCTTTTAGCTTTGAATCTTTAGATTTGAGTGTTTTATTTGATAGAATGTGGTGATATTAAGGGTTGAAAGGGAATAATGAAACCGGAATTGTCAAATTGGTAAGAGTTACCTAGTCAAATGATCAGGTAGAGGGATAATAAAGGGATGGATAATTAACACTAAGGGCATTCTAAAAAGCCAGACAGAAGCTAATACTATAGAAGCTTCCTAAAGTATATGCATACACACATATAAAAAGTCTAAATGGATTTGCTAGATAATGGGGCCCCACGTGACACCATAGGATGACAAATAAAAGCTCAGCAGCAGGAATGGATTATTTCTTTTGGAGTTGTTGGCAAGTGATGTACTGTAGACTCCCAAATGTTACTAGATATTGCCAATGCTTTTGGTAACCCTCCAGAACTTCTTGGTGAGACCCAAATTGCTGAAGATGCCACAAACTTGGGCCATAGCACATGGGGAGGTAAATCTTTTACTCAGCTTGAAGCTTCATCCCTTCTGGCTAGCTTTCAGAGTGCTGGAAGGTCCTATGTATGCTACTGGAGGAGAAAAGGAATCACCAATCTTACTCAACTGTTAATGCTTTGAGCCACAGTAATGAATGGTCTGGTAACATGTCCACTGATGCAATAGCAACACAAATTCATTGTATAAAACTCTCAAAGAACCAATAAAAAATTACACAAAATAAACGAGAAAAGGCAATATTAGTTAAATCACTGAAGTAGTTACCAGAATTTTCAGCTTGATAATGAAGACCCTGATGTGTTGGGAGCTGTGCTGCATAGTCATAGTTGCAGATCGGTATATGAGTGCTTGTCCAGATAAGGCAAAAGACAGTCTCACTTAGCAAGGACCAGTGGACTTTGTGGACAGTGCAGAATACTGTTGGGGCTCTCTTCTCTCTTATATAGACTGATGATTCTCTTGGTTGTTTTAGTGTCATTTTGTCAATCATGCTTGGGATGGAAACCCTATGTTTTCTCAAATACCTTTCCCTGAATTTCTTGGAAGCTGCTGCTTCTCAGGTTTCTTGTCTGGGGATGCCACCTGTCACTTCAGACCCCTGGAGCTATTCTAATTCAGTGCTGATAGGATCAGAGTCAGATCACTCCTATTTCTGTAAATATGTTTTGAATACATTGTTGGTCTTTGCAAATGCGTGCTTATGTCAATCACCTTTTAGTTTTGTAGAAACAGGATGTACCTGGCTCAGTGTTTGGCCAAACTAGCAAAATGATTAAGTGTTATTTTTTGGTTTAAAGATGTTTTGATGTAAAAGTTGGAAGAAAACATATTTGACATATTTGTTTTTGCTAGGGTTAACCTTGTAGGATGGGAAATAACATGCTTGTTAGTATAAAAAATGATTGGTTTTGATATATAAATAAAAAAATGACTGGAGATATTCAGGATGAGCCACTTGTATAAAATTCATCTGGTGGTTGGACAATTCATTTCTTTGCACAGATGCCCCTTGCCTCTCTCAGGACCAGAACCCAGCCTGGGGCTTGGACTGTAACATTAATGGGGATACTTCTTTTTATGAGATGTAAATTACACAGTAACAATCTAAACTAAGTCTTATAATTCTATAGGTTACACTTTTCCAAATATAATTCTCGAACCAAGAAGAATATGGAAAACTGAGAACCAACATGAAAGCTGCAGTTTCAAGAAGAGACCAATGGTACTGCATCTTCCTTCCATTGAGAAGTTGGCCTCTCTGAAGACACTGGCTTGCATTTGGGTCAATTTTCCTTTGGAAATGAGGAGAAAAGTAAGGACCAAGACCTAGGTTGGGCTAAATTGGTACTTACTTGTAGGATGTTCTTCTGGAGCAGGTTTACTATAACCTAGAAAATAGAAAACTGGTAAGAGGAAGGGAGAGCACAGGAAAGGATTCAGCATGCTTTCTCGTCCATATGACACAACACTGCCCTTATATACATTAGTGAACATCAATTCATGTTTTAAGATCTGACAAGTCATACCGGAGAAAAATTACCTGGTATTTCAACTATACCCATCTCTTCCCACACCTCTATCATGTTGCAATAGGTTTTTATAAAATATATTCTCACACCTCACTTCCACAATATTAAGCATCAATATACACAATTCTCTTTCTTTCTACTCTACCATTATATATTCATCAAGAAGATCCTCTTTGAGCAGTTACTGTGCATAGTATTCCATTTTCAATTGAAGTATATAGTATGAAGGGACAAAAATAAATAAATAATACAAAGGGTATGTCTCCCTCCACTGCAGTTCACATTAGGAAAAGGTACAGATGAAAGTTGTTGTTCTTTTACAAGGTATAGTTTATAGTAAATGCTGAACAGAAAATGAAAAGAGGCTGAATATTGTACACAAATACTTGCAATGGCTTAGTGAAACACATTGGATATAAAATGCTGCATGTCAAAATTTTGATTGGTCAAAACTCGGTGTAGGAAAGGCAAATCCCTTTGCAGTTCTGGGCTTTGTTTGCTTTCTTTTTTAAAATGTAGAGTAATATAGATACATTATATCTTCCTGCCATCTTCAAGGGGTATTATGGTTAAAGTGGCTTTGATAAGACATAGAGACATTGAACTGATAATTCTCTCAACATACTAGCAAGCAAGTTTCTTTATCTGGTTAGTTAGGATGGAAACACCCAGTGTAAATTAATGTAGGGGTCAAAAACATTGGGATACATTCCTGGATTCAAGAAGAAGTAGAAATGAAGCTTAGAAAATGTATTTCTATCCCTTTGCTTGCTGATTTTCCATACAACAATGAACATAGGGCAAACCTTCTTCCTAGGCTACTTGTGTGTGCTTCTTGAATTTTTGCAAAAAGGTGATAAGAACATGCAATAAACTGGTATTGGCAGTATTATAAACATTATTGATAGAAATAGAAAAAAAATAAAGGATGCCTAGGGGATATTCCACAGCAAACCACAAAGAAATTTACCATTGACATATAAACTGTCCTTGTCCAGTGAGTAGTTGCCCAGCTGGGTGATTCCCTGGGTTAGATTTTTCAGTTCTGAGTACAGTCCTTGGATGTCCATCCCAGGATGTGAAGGGTCATGGTGGTAGGTGCAGATGGCATCCACACCAGTGGCTGTTCCATTCTTCTTAGGCCTAGAGAGAGAGGAGTGTGGAGATTTCAGAAAAGTCAAAATGAAGATCAGAACCAGAGGGAAGAACTAGGAATGAGAATGATAACAATAAGCAATGGTCATTCCTGGCCAATGGTCAGGAAGTAGCCTCACCTGAGGGAATCCAATCTGCAGGTTGAGTTGAAGGAGCCATTTTGGAACAAGTGTCCAAGCTGTGGATGGTGAAGGAGGAGGGAAATGAAAACAGGCATTGAAAAGGAGGTCATATGGGATTTATCTCCCTCACACTGCTTGGATAAGGTTCTCACCAGGTACTGCAGGACACTCTCAGTTGAGCTGAACACAGCTGAGCCATTGCTCATATTTGATGAATATGGAAGACTGGTTATGGTGAAGTTGATTGTTAGGATCTCCAGATGGTGCCCCATAGCTGCATGAAGAGAAGAGATACAACTGAAAATTTGCTGATACCAGAGTAGAATCCTGTTCTCATCAGCTTATCTTCAAGTCTCTAACCATATCCCAAAGTATCCATTCAGGTCAGAAACTACACATCTTCTTAAATCCACATCACACAAATTACCTTTTCTGAATATTCCTCACATTAATTATCTGTTCTTTCTAGCTTAGTTCTTATGACTAGAATATTTTTCCTTCAGACTCAATGGATGCTCTATCTAAAGATGTTCTCTATGCTGAGCACTAGCAGTGTCTTTCTGAAATGAAAACTCTTACTAGGAGATTCAGAGTCCATTACTACCATCGTTCTATGTGTGCTTTCAGGGGCAAGTACAAGCTTGAAAATCTGACACTTGTGGTGACTAATATTGATTTTCAAGTCATTACACTTGGGAAGAAATATTGAAGAATTGCACCCGTCATATTGACCTGTGGGCTTGTCTATGGGGCATCACCTTGATTACTACTTGATGTAGCAGATCCAGTCAACTATGAGAAACACTACTACCAGGCAGGTGGGCTTGGGAAGTATAAGAAAGCTATCTGATATGAGCCTGAAAGCAAACCAGTACACAAAGTTCCCCAATGATCTGCTTTAAGTCCTCTCTCTAGCTTCCTGCCTTGAGTTCTTACTTGGCTTCCCTTAAGTACAGACTGTAACATGGAACTGTAAGTTGAAATAAACTCATACTTCCCCAAGTTTCTTTAGACTGTCACATTTATCACAGCAACAGAAGGCATCCTACAACAGCTTTCACTGACTTCCATTATCGTTTATTCATCTATCTTGAGCCTCCCAATTGACCTAGTAGGTGCTACAGAGGACACAAAGTGGCTGCACTGGGACTTGAGCAATATGATTCATAGAAACCAAAATCCTCTCAATTCTACATATCCACTATAGTATTACTGGTCGCTGAGCCCTCTTATTGAAATCCTTACTTCCTGGAACATTTCATGCTTCATTTATCTGGATGACTCCCACTCATCCTGAGGGATCCAGTTCAAGAGGAATTTTCCTCAGAAAGCCTTCTCCTTTGTACAGTATGTTATATGCCTGTTACCTCCATACTTCCAACCCCACAAATATCTAAAGTATTGCGGTAGTCTATTTGTCTCACATGCCTTTTGGCTGAATGTGAGCAAGTACCTGGTTGGATTATTAATTTGATCCTTGTGCATATGAAAATGACCCTGACACTAGGATCTTCATATATTGGTGTCCTAGCTCTATCTGGAAGACAGATGGTGGAGGTGTGGGACAGGGATCTAACCAAAGGCAGTTAATGGGATCCCGAGATACCTGTGTAAGGTTCTGGCTGCAGAGATGTAGATGTGGATGGTAGGATAGTGGTGGATGTCTCAGGAGCTGTGGAAAGGATTGTCATTGTTGAAATCCTCATTTCCTTGAATATTTTATGCTTCATTTATCTGTATTGCTCATACTTATCCTGATAGATTCATTTTAGGATGAATTTTTTTTCAGAAATTCTTCCCCTGTCTACATATAATAAAGACTGTCTATAATGAGAGAGTTTTTCTAGCTATGGTCAGAGAGAGGCACAACTACCATTCACAGGTGAACCACGAACTACACTGAAGAGTGATTGTGTGAGTGAAGAAGTGAACAAGCCTATGAATGGAATTAACTCAAGATATTGAGTTTAGTGACTAGCATAAAGGATGAGCAAAGAACACAGATGGATTAAGACGATATAAAATAAAAAAGATAAATTGATGGATGGAAGGAAGGTTATATAAAAAGAGGTTCAAAACAGAATTCAAGAAGAATTAAATCAAAGACAATATGGAGAGAGAGAAGAAAAGAGAGAAAAAAAGGACAACTAAGTGAATGAATTTGATGATGGGTAAACAAGTGTGTGTGTGTGTGTGTGTGTGTGTGTGTGTGTGTGTGATTCAATGAGGTGATTATAGCATAGTTATATAGATGTGTTGGTGAACATTAAGTAGATGGGTAGGTGAATGGCTGAGTAGAGATGTACTGCATTCATAGATACATGAATGTACTGATATATGTATTCACAGGAGAAAGAAAGAAAGTGAACGCTAAGCAGACACACAAACAAAAGAAGTAGGTGTATAAACTTCTGAACTGACTAAAATATACATTTATAGTAGCTGACAGAAGATTGGGTGATCATACCAGTCTTGAATATATGGATATATAGATCAAATGGATATATATATATGAATGGATAAAGGGGAAAGAAGAAATAAAGTATGAACTGGAAAATGGACAGTAGTATGGGTTTATCAATGAAACTGGATGAGTGAATGAATGTAATCATGAATATAGGAAGGAGAGAAAAGAAAAAAATAAATACAAAATAAATGGCAGAAGAATGGATGGATGGATGAATGGATAGATGGATGTATGGATGGATAGTTGGATGGATAGATGGATGGATGGATGGTTGGATGGATGGATGGTTGGATGGATGGATGGTTGGATGGATGGATGGATGGGTGGATCAGTTGATATATGGATTGATGGAAACATGATATGAGTCCAGGATTATCTAGAAAAATGGAAGTATGAACAGTTGGAAAGATAAATAATGGATAGTCCAATGAACACCCCAAATTAACTCCAAATGATTAAACAAACTTTACATAATTCACGTACCCTGATGTAATTTAGGAGAAAATGGGTAATACAGTTAAACTTACTGGAACAGGAAAGGATTTTGGGGACAGAACCCGGATAGCATATGCTTTAAGACTAATAATTAATAAACAGGTCCCACGAACATAAAAAATTTCTGTGCAGAAAAAGATAGCATTGTTTTAACAAAGTAGCTTCCTATAGAATGGTAAAAATCTCTGTTAGCTACATATCTGACAGAAGGTTTGTGTCTAGAATATACATATAGATAAAAAAAGTTAATCACAAAGAAAGGAACCTAATTGATTATATAGCATGGCTCAGATAATTCTCACAAAATGAAATATAATTTGTTTGTTTTTGGTTTTGTTTTGTTTTGTTTTTTTCGAGACAGGGTTTCTCTGTGTAGCTTTGCCACCTGACCTGGATCTCTCTCTGTAGACCAGGCTGGCCTCAAACTTTCAGAGATCTGCCTGCCTCTGCCTCCCAAGTGCTGGGATTAAAGGCATGCACCACTACTGCCTGGCCATGAAATATAATTTGTGAAGAAACATTTTTTAAATGTTCAACATCCCTTGGTATTAGGGAGAAGAAAATTAAAACTTTTTAAAGATTTCATCTTTCCTCTCTCAGAATAGCTAAAATCCAAAACAAAACAGAACAAAACAAAAGAAACAAAATAAATGACAACAAATGCTGGCATGGATGCGGGGGACAGGAACAATCATTCACTTCTATTGGGGGTGTAACCACTACAGAAATACGTGTGGAGGTTCCTAAAAACTCCACAAAAAAGATCTACTATGTGCTCCAGCGTTATCACTCTTGTGCATACACTCCAAGGAGTTTAAATGCCACTATTGAGAAACATGCATGTCCATGTTTATTATTGCTCTATTCATGATATCTAGGAAATAGATGTTCATCAACTGATGGATAGATAATAAAAATATGGAAAATATACACATATTTTTCAACTGGTAAGAATAATACAATTGCCATAATCTCTGTGGATTCACATGTGTATCAGTCCTGTTGTATCTGGAAGGTACTATTTCCTTGGAGTCATCTACAGTCTTTTGAACTGTACAAGTTTAAAACAGACAAAATTACAGCACTGAGAAAGCAAAGAGGACACAAAGTTCCACCCCTAGTCAAGAAGCTATTTGTTCTGGGTGGTGGTGGCACACACCTTTATTCACAGCACTTGGGAGGCTGAGGCAGGCAGATATCTATGAGTTTGAAGCTAGCCTGGTCTACAGAGTGAGTTCCAGGACAGCCAGAGTTACACAGAGAAATTCTGTCCTGAAAAACTGAAGAAGAAGGAGAAGGAGAAGGAGAAGGAGAAGGAGAAGGAGAAAGAAGAAGAAGAAGAAGAAGAAGAAGAAGAAGAAGAAGAAGAAGAAGAAGAAGAAGAAGAAGAAGAAGCAGCAGCAGCAGAAGCAGCTACTTGCAATTTATACCTGCTAAGAAAGGGAAAATTAGTTTTCTTCAGTAGAGTGTCACTGGTTATATCAATCACACTCAGAGATGGACTCATGCTCAGAAATAGTTAAAGAACATAAAACAGACATCATTTTTTTTAATTTGGTATGATATTTTTGTTTCAATTTCTAGTTACTGAACTTATTTGATATTACTTTTTTGTTTGTTTGCTTATTTGTTTGGATTTTCAATTTTGTATTTTGAGTACATTGAGGGAGAGAGAAAAACAGGAAGAGAGAGGAAGAAAAAGGAATTTGGGTGAGTAGAAAAGTGGGGAGGACATGAGAGCAATGGTGGGAGAGGAAAACATGATCAAAATATATTTCATAAAAATTTTAAAAGAACTAGTAAAAATTAGAAAAAAACTAAACCAATAAAAGAACTAATTAAAACTAGAACAAATACAAGAGAGAAAGCAATTTTAGTTAAAACACTAAAATAGTCATCAGAATTTGCAGCTTGATAATAAAGCTCCTGATAGGGACTCTTCTTTTTAGGAAACATAAATCACACAGTAACCATCTAAACTAAGCCCCATAATTCTATAATTTACACTTTTATGAATATAATTCTCCAACCAAGAAGAATATGGAAAATTCAGAACCAACATGAAAACTGCAGTTTCAAGAAGAGACCAATGGTACTGCATCTTCCTTCCATTGAGAAGTTGGCCTCTCTGAAGACACTGGCTTGCATTTGAGTCAATTTTCCTTTGGAAATGAGGAAAAAAGTAAGGACCAAGACCTAGGTTGGGCTGAATTGGTACTTACTTATAGGATGTTCTTCTGGAGCAGGTTTATTATAACCTAGAAAACAGAAGACATAATAGAGGATAGGAAAAGATTCAGCATGCTTTGGCCCATAGGGCACCACACTACCCTTGTATAGATTAGTGAACATATATTCAAGTTATAAGATCTGACAAATCATCCTGGAAAAGAATTTCCTTGTATTTCAACTATACCAATTTCTTCCCATATCTCTATCATGTTCCCAATTGGTTCTTACAAAACATACTTTCACATCTCACTTCTACCATATTACGTATGCATCAATACACAGCATTATCTTTCCTTTTTCTCTGCCACTATATATCCATTTAGAATATATATTCTTTTTTTTTAGAGAGGAAATAGCCAAAGATATCAGAGCAATAGTCACGACTAGCTTTAGCTTACCACCAGTAGTAGCTTTTCCAGAGAGAGAGATTTCTTCCTGCCTGACTTGTGTTTTTATTGCCTTTCTGTTCTCCCTTCTCATTGGCTCGAAGCCCAGCCATATGACTTTGTCGTCACTGCCTGTCTATACAGACATCCAGGTCTCTATGGTTGGTACTAGGATTAAAGGCTTGTGTCACAATGCTCAGCTATGTCCTTGACCACATAGAGACTCGGCCTGCCATGTAGTTGGATTAAGGGCATGTGCTACCACTGCCAAACTTTTGCTTAATGGATATTTGATCTCTGATCTCCAGGCAATTTTATTTATTAACATAAAAATAAAATATCACATTTCATCACAAATAAAATATCACCACATTTCACCCTTTTTATTCTAGTAAAAAGAAAAAAGTTATAACTAATATAAGAAAAACTATATTCAATAAGTAAAATAATTATATATAATATATACAATCAATTAATACCTCAACAATGTCTAATCCATTTGCATTTGGCAAACTCAGAAAATATTCCATTATCTATCCTATTTTGGTAAGTCCAAAATGTACCTGATTCACTTTTTATCCTTACTTATATTACTAACAGAGAACTATCTTATATTCTTATTGAGCATTAACTATTTATATTTACATATATAAATAGTAAATTTACAAATATTAATTTACTATTATATTTCCAATGGAAGTATATAGTACAAATGGACACAAATAAAAAACAAAACACAGTGTGTGCCCCCACTGCAGTTCACATTAGGAAAAGGTACAGATGAAAGTTACTGGTTCTTTGTATCAGGCATATGGTATGGTGCTGTGGGATGGTCTGTATGTCAAATTACTCTGATTGGCCAGTAAATAAAATACTGATTGGCCAGTGGCTAGGCAGGAAGTATAGGCGGGACTAACAGAGAGGAGAAAAGAAAGAACAGGAAGGCAGAAGGAGTCAGTGCCAGCCGCTGCCATGACAAGCAGCATGTGAAGATAACAGTAAGCCAAGAGCCACGTGGCAAGGTATAGATTTATGGAAATGGATTAATTTAAGCTATAAGAACAGTTAGCAAGAAGCCTGCTTAGCAGAAGCAAGAGGCCATACAGTTTGTAAGCAATATAAATCTCTGTGTTTACTTAGTTGGGTCTGAGTGGCTGTGGGACTGGCGGTTGACAAAGATTTGTCCTGACTGTGGGCAAGGCAGGAAAACTTTAGTTACAGTATGGTTTATAGTAAATGTGGAATAGAAAATGAAAAGAGGCTGGAAATTGTACACAAATCCTTGCAATGGCTTGATGTAACAGATTGGGTATAAAAAGTTGCATGTCAGCATTTTGATTGGACAAATCTCAGTGTAGGTAGGGCAAGTCCCTTTGTAGCTCTGTGGTTTGTTTGCTTTCTTTTTTAAATTCAGAGTAATGTAGATACATTATACCTTCTTGTCCACTTCATAGGGTTTGATAGTTAAAGTAGCTTGGCAATTGACAAGACATAGAGTCATTGAACTTAAATTCTCTGGACACATTTGCAATCAAGTTTCTATATCTTGTTAGTTAGGATGGAAAGAATAAGCATAAATAAATATAGGTTCCATAATCTTTGGGATCTATTCTTGGATCTAAGAAGAGTTAGAAAGGAAGCTCAGCAAACATATTCATACCCTTCTACTTACCAATTTTGTATACAATATGACCATACATCCATACCTCCTTGCCAGGATATTCATGTGTGCTTCTTAAATTTTTGGAACAAAATGCTAAGAAGATAGACCAAACTGGTCTAGACAATACTATCAATACTATTGATAGAGGTAGAAAAAAAAATAAAGGATGCCTCAACTTCCTCCACAACAAACCACAGTTTATGCTTACCATTGACATATAGACTCTCTTTGTCCAGTGTATAGTTGCTCAGATGGGTTATTCCATGTGTCATGTTGCTCAGTTTTGAGTACAGTCCCTGGGTATCCATCCCAGGAAGTGAAGGGTCATGGTGGTAGGTGCAGATAGCATCCACACCAGTGGCTGTTCCATTCTTCTCAGCCCTAGAAGGCAAGGAGTATAGAGATTTTAGAAAAGGTATAATGCAGATAGGAAACAGAAAGAGGAAGGAGCAAGTGGGGGGGCAATAATAGATATTTGGTAAATGGGCAGAAAGTGGACTCACCTGAGGGAATCTAGTCTGCAACTTGAGTTGAAAAAAACATTATGGAGCAAGGGTTCCAACTGGGGAGAAAAGCAAGGAAAATAATGGAAATAAAATTTAGATAGAGTAGATGATATGATTTATCCAAATGGAAGCTACTGGAATGAGGGTCTTACCAGGTTCTTCAGGAGAGTCTCAGTGGAATTGAACAGAGCTGAGCCATTGTTCATACTTGCTGAATATGGAAGGTTGGAAATGATGAAACTCACTGTGACAGTCTTCATATGATGCCCCACAGCTGAACAAATTGGGAAGAGATACAACTATGATTTTGTCTGGGAACAGACTGGAATCCTATACTCATCAAGTAATACCTCCTTGTATTTTATCATCAGACTCACCATACCCACAACCTTAATATCACATCTCTGTGCCACACTAATTCACATTTCTGAATGTTCCTAACATAATTCATGTGTAATTTCCTATCATAATCATATCTTCTCTTATCCACATTATCTACCAGACTCATAGGATATACTGTCTAAGGGACTTTTTCTACACTGAACTTTAGAAGAGTGTTCTGAAAAGAAAGTCTAACTGGGACTGCCCTCTTACTCCTACAACTCATAGATCATTGTACAGTTTCAGGGTTCAGTTTGAGTGTTTTAATTTGTAATTCAAGGCCCTTTCCAATCTAGTTTCTCATGTCATTTCAGCTTTTGTTATTCATCAATCTGGACCTACCATCCTGTCTTTATGGGCTTTGGACTAAAAATCAAAGGCTATATTAGGCAATGAACTTTATGCTCCTTGGATGCCAAATTCCTCTCATTTATCCCATTATACTATGTTTTTCTAAGTCAATGAGCCCTTGTTGTTGATATCATTTCCAGCAACACTTTATGACCTATTTATCTGGACCACTCCTGTTCAGCATGAAAGATTCAGATCACATTGAACTGTCTCCAGAAAACACTTTCCTCTATGTATTATGTGAGCTGCTGCACATACTGAATTTCTCACTGCACTGCAATGATCTGTTCATCTTGCAGTACTCGTGGTTGTATGAAGCTTGGCTACTGATTGAATTGCTACTATAATCTTTGTGTCTGTAATGATGGCTATGGAACTAGGTTCTTCATATTCTTGTGTCTAGATCCCATATAGAAATCAGAACTGTGGGACAGGGTATCTTATAATGATAGAAACAGGTCCTTTGATACCTGTGGTAGATTCTGTTTGCACAGATATTGATGGAGAAGGTAGTATGGTAGTGGTCAATTCAGGATCTGTGGAAAGGAATGTCATCAGGGTTGAGAAAATCCCCAGGTAGTTAGAAAAGCCCATGCAGCAGTAGTCCAAAGCAGACCAAACCATTCATAGGTAGATAATACACAAAAGAGTGAATGGGCATTAATGTTGGAAAAGCCTGTGAATAAAATTAACTCAGATAATGAGAGTGGTTGGCTGGAGAAAGACTGAGAAAGGAGAATAAATTAATTGGAAGATAGTAATTGAATTGGTAAGTAGATAAGTAGAAAGAAGAATGGATAGATGAAGGGTCAACCCAAAATTGAAGAATAATAAGTATCTGGAGAAATGGAAGGAAGGAAAGAGGGAACAAATAACATGTAAATAAATGAACATTACGGATGGTGGGGAAGTACATGAAAGATAGATTTTTGTTGGGGTAAGTAAGTGAATGAATAGGTGGGTGGATAGACATATTGGTGGGTGGGTCGGGTGGTAAGTGGGTGGATGGATGAGTTGATGACTGAATGGATGGATGAATGAATAGGTGATGAATGAATGGATACAGGTACATATGGCTAGATAGATGCACAAAGAAAGAAAGAGAAAAGGAATTGATAAGCAGATCAATAGATAAGAGAATGTAGATAGGTAGATAGTTGAATGAATTGACATATGTCTAGATACTGAATTCATGGGTGGGTGGTTGCATGGTGGGTGGGTATATGAATGGATAGGTATGTAGGGGGATAATGGATGGATGACTGGGTAAGTGTGTGTGTGTGTGTGTGTGTGTGTGTGTGTGTGTGTGTGTGTATAAAAGAGGTAAATATCAAAGAAATAAAGGGCAAGCTAGCAAATGGAGAGAAATATGAGTAGGTGGATAAACAGTGGATGGATGAATGGCTAGACAGATGACTAGAGAAGGAATGATAGAAGAAATGAAGAAATACAGTATAATGGAAAGGATAGTGGATGAATGGATGGATGACTAAAAATGTGGTTCTGGAGGAACAGTAACTAGCAAATGAAAGAATGGACAGCTGGAAAGATAGATGAGTGAGATACTGAATGAGTGGGCTATTTTATCCAAACACTTTAGTAGACACCAAAATTTGCTACTTAACAATGAAGCCCCTACTACATCCTCAATAGCATTTGTTTTAGGTAATATAAACCAGTCTCTGAATTAATTTAGCTTAATAACACCATATGAAACAATTGTTCAAATTTCCTTTTCTTATTCAGAGGATTGAGGAAAATTCAGAAATCCAACACTAGGGCTTCAGTCCCAAAAAGAAGCCACCAGCTCTGCATCTTCTTTCCCCTGAGACTTTGACCACTCTCCAGAGACTGACTTTTGTTTAGGACAAGCTTCCTTTAGAAATGAGGAGAAAAGCATGGACCAAGACCCAAGTCATGCTAAGCTGATACTTACTCATGGTTGATTCTTCTGTACCAGTTCCACTGTAACCTAGAAAAGCAAAAAACATAAATAAGTGTAGATGTGTATCACTTTATACATGGACTAAACATCTATTGATGTTCTATGATCTGACTGAAGAATGTTCTGGCATTTCAACTTATTTAACTGTTCCCTACTCAATCTCAATTATGCTCCCCAAAGTGTGTCCATATGCTTTATTTTCATGTATCACTCCCATATTTATATACATCCACTTATACCATCATCCTTTCCACTCTCTACACTCTATATTCATCTGATACATATTTATTGGGAAGTTGTCATGTTTGGTGTGGCATTTCTACTTGAAGAATGTAGAATTGAACTAAACACTCCATGCTCCACTACAATTTACACTGACACAAAGTCTGCATATAATTTAATTTACTTGTTCCTAGTGTCAACCATAATGTCTGCATTATAATGAATATTTGGAAAATGCTGAGTGAACAATACAATGATGAATTTATATTATATAAGTTATTAGATAGAAAAATCCTGCATGAGTCCTTGCAATGGCCAAGTTAAAGGACCAGATTTAAACATGAAACATTAGAATTCATATCCAGACAAATTTATGTTACAGTTGGAAGATCCATTTACCTAAATGTGCTTTAGTTTGTCTCTATGTTAAAATGAGAGTAATTGGTAAACATCATGCTACACAGTGGTAAATATTGATTGTAAACTGACAAGACCTAGAATCACCAAGAAGAAAAAGCTCTGGGCATTCTGTGAAGGGGGCTTGGGATTAGTTTAAATGAAGTACATAGCTCTATCCTAATTCTTGGTAGCTCTTTCATATGGACAAAGCTCCTGAACCATAAAAGAAATAGAAAGAGAGATGAAGACCAGTATTTATACTCATCTTCTTCCTGACTTGGGACATAGTATGTCCAGGTATATCTATTTTCCTGGAATGCTATTTATTGGTGTTTCTCAACTTCTTTGAAGAAGAATCTAAGAACATAGAAGCAACTGGTCTAGAAAGAGATCACTGACTTTGAAAAGGCTAGGAAAATAAAGAGTGGCTGAAGACATCCCATAGGAAAACACAGACAATGCTCACCATTCACATAGAGACTATTTTCGTCCAATGTATAATTGCCCAGCTGAGTGACTCCATGGGTCAGATGGCTCAGCTCTGAATATATCTCCTGTGTGTGCAACCCAGGATGTGCAGAATCATGTTGGTAGGAGCAAATGACATTTACACTAGTGGAGTTTTGATTCTTCTCAGGTCTGAAAAGAGTAAGATACCACTCTAGAGATATCTTAATGTGGGTGAGAGTCCCAGGGAAGGAGGAAACAGCAGAAGGGTCAAAATAGGTTAGTCATTCCTGGAAAATGACAAGGAAGTAGACTCACCTGAGGGAGGTCAGTCTGCAGCTTGAGTTGAAGAATATATTCTGGAACAAGGGTCTAAGCTACAGAGAAAGGAAAAATGAAAAAGAGAAAAGAGTTGGATGCAGGATATACAGGAAGTTTGTCCTACAAGGAGGTTCCAGGATGAGGGTCTCACCAAGTGCTGTAGAACACTCTCAGTGGAATTGAACACGGCTGAACTATAGCTCATATCTTCTGAATATGGAAGATTAGAGATGGTAAAATTGATTGTGAAAGTCTTCAGATGATGCTCCACAGCTGTAGGAAGACAGAAAGAAATATCTATAACTGAGAGTTTGCCTGATACTACACTAGATTTCTATACTTATCAAGTTATATCACCCAGTTTGCCACCATCTGTCATTGTACACATCCAAGTAAGAGATGAACATCTCATCTCCATGTCATACCAATCCCCTATTCAGAATGATCTTCATATGTGCTATCTCCTTTACCATAACAGATCAGGCCTTATCTTCTCATATACAGACTATTACCCTACAAGATTCACTATGTGTTCCATATAAGTGGATTTTTCTATGATGAACACAAGAAAGGTATTGCGGAAAGGAAAAACTCACAAGGATACCCCCCAATGCTCTTACCACCTATGGCTCTCTTTGGGGTTTCAGTTTCAAGTTCATGTTTCTTGGTTTGATACTCAAGATTCCTTTAATGTGGTTTCTTATGATTCCCAGATTCAGTTACTTATCAATTCTGTGCCTAACACTATGGCCTTTTGGGTCCTGAGGTGGACATGGAGAGCTATCACTGGAAGCTGAGCTTCATGCTTCAAGAAAACCAAATTCCTCTAGTCTCTCCACTCACTTGCTCTTGATGGCCACTGAGCCTATCTTCCTTCACAGCAAAAAAATCACGACAGTTTATCTATTATTTTTATGCATCCTAGGAGATTCAGTTCAGGTGGAGCTTTCTCTAGGAGGCCCCCACACACTTATATTGTGTCAGGTGACTCTCACTTCACAAGAATCCCTCGTTGTACTGTCCTAGTCTATTCATCTCAGAAGCCTGGTAGCTGCATGAGGGCAGGCATCTGACTGAAATGCTGGTCTGATCTCTATTACTGTAATAATGCTACTGGCACTGGATCCTCACATCATGGCTTCCCAGGTCTTATGCCAGTTGGGAGGTGTAAGTGTGGGACAAGGATTTTCATCAAATGTAGGAAAAGGCTTCCCCAAATACCTGTGGTGGATTCTGGCTGCACAGATGTCAGTGTAAAAGACGGGATGGTGGTGCTTGGCTCAGGAGCTGTGGAAAAGGCTGTTAGCAGTGATGAACAGAGCCCACATACAGTCAAGGAAGCTCTTACAGAAGTGGTTCAAGCCACACTAACCATTCACAAACGGACCATAAACAAGAGTGGCTGTCTGAGTGGAGGGGGAACTAAGTTTCTGAATGAAATGTATTCAAGACAATGAAAATCGAGAGCAGTTCGTCAATTTGAAGCCAGATAAGAAAGTGACAAATGCCTCAAAACATATTTCAAGAGGAATAAAAACATGAGAATTGGGAGCTATGGAGACTAGAACTAATAATTGAATGAATATGATAATTGGATGAGTGAACAGGTGGGTGAATTTGTGCTTGGATGGGTGAGTTGGTGCATGCATGGATGAATGGACAGACTGGGTTAAGCATGAGGTGAGTGAGTGGGTATATGGGGAGGAATGAATGGATATGTGTGTGGGTGTATATAAGGATGGATGCATGGATGTGTGGATGATACATAGGGGAAAGAACAAAGGAGAAAAATTCAAGTAAATAAACTAAAATTAAATAGGTGGATATATGTATACATAAGTATATCATACAGTATGAGTGCATGAGAATTTAATTGGTTTAATTCATCAATAGGTAGGTAGGTGAGTGGACATATACATATATATGTTGTTAGATGTATGGATAAGTTGGTGGGTTGATGGATAAATGGATGGATGGAGGAAATGAATGAAAAAGGAAAGGACATTATTACATTTGCATGCATTATTGATAACTGAGAATGAATGGAAATATGAACAAAAGCAGAAAAGAGGAAGAATGAACATGAAAAGTAAGTAACAAAATTATCGGGAAAATTAGTAGATTGATTGTATGTAAATGAGGTGTCCTAGGACTAATTATAAAAATGGAAGAACAGTTGCAGAAAAAGGTAGGTGATTGGGACATAAAATGAAACTGTAGTATGTTAGCAAAAACAACTTAAGTAGCAATCTGTTGTAGACTATTATTTCAAGATGTGTTACATTTGTTTATACTGTGGAACATTTGTTTAATGATGCAAAAATATCTTGCATTCTTTTATGTTGCATTTGTTTAGCTCTGTGAAGCTATGTTACTTTGCCTGTCTAAAACATCTGATGATCTAATAAATAGTTGAGCAGCAGGAGAAAGGATATGTGGGGCTGCAGGCAAAGAAAACAAATAGAAGGAGAAATCTGGGAGGGGAGGATCAAGGAGGAAGGATTGAGAAAAGAAGGGACCAGCCACCCAGCAACACAGCCAGAAGGAAAAAAAAGATATAGAAATATATGGAAACAGAAAAAGGTAAAACCCAGAGACAAAAGATAAATGGGCTAATTTAAGAAATGTTAGCTAGAAATAAGCCAAGCTAAGGCTGGGCATATAAGTAAGTAAGAATAAGCCTCTGTCCATGTATGTATTTGGGAGCTTGGTGGCAGGCACCCAAAAGAGCAAAAGATCCTAAAGGTAAAAACAACAACAATTGCAGCAGTCACAGTGCATAACTTGACAATGAAGCCCCTGTTTAAGACTATAATAGTTCGGGTTATAGTAGACATAAATTAAAGAATTACTATTTAAAATGTAGTCCTTACCCCTCACCAAGAAAACTTCTCTTTGCAGCACACAGAGACCATTACAGTAACCCCAACCAATCAAAATGCAGATTGGTGAAGCTGAGTGCCAATGATATTGGATACATCTATAAAACAACTCTTGCAGCCAAGGCTCTAGAAACATTGCAGGAGAGTCAGGGGAAAGTTTGTAAGAGCCAGAGTATTAGGGAGTTTGGTATGAAACTATATATTCCAGTAATGCCAGAAGCTACCCTCATAAAGTCTCACCAGCATGACTGCATAAACATAAGCTGAACAAGGACAACAACAATAGACATGCCAAAGCGAATGAGGAAAAAGCCATGAGGTCTCAATCCTACCCAAGGAACTACAGGCAACCAAGGAATGATGAGAGTGTGAAAAATAGTCTTCCCTAGGAAAGAGTACACCAACTGATTATCCAATATCTAATAGTCAGTCCTGAAGACATAGGTATAAGTAGCATTATACAGACTGTGCAGGTTATATTTATGAACATATTTGTATGTAAATGTACATCTATGCAAGTAACAGCAAATAATGAAAAGAAAGAGGCCATGGATTTGAAAAGAGAAAGGAGGTTTATAGGTGGTTTTGGAGGGAAGGAAGCGAAGGGGAAGATATTGTAATTATATTATAATCTTAAAAATAAAAGAAGAAATTAAAAATTACTATCTGACATGATCCTTTTTATAAGTAATGATCACTTATTCATATTGTTTCCTCTAACCTGAAGGAGTATAGGGAATTCAGAAATCCAGTGCTTGGGCTGAAGGGCAAAAAACAGGCCAGAGGCTCATTTTTCTGCTACTAAGGCCTTGACTCCACACAGGAGACTGGCTTGTGTTTGGGGCAAGCTTCCTTTGTAAATGAGGAGCAAAGCCTTGACCAAGACCAGGTTGGCGTGGTTTGATACTTACTTGTAGTAAGTATGTCTGGACCAAGTTCATTATAACCTAGAAAACAAAAGTCAAGTATAAGTGCAAGATGCAGAATGGTCTCCTACATCATGCTGTTATCTATGTGGGAAATGGATACATGTTCTTGTGAGTACTTATTAAGTGTCTACTAATGTTCTAGGATCTTACTCAAATATTATCATGAGGAAAAACTTCCTGATACTTCATTTAGATCCAACTCTTCCTTACCAGCTCTCTAGCATGCTCCCAGAATGAGTCTTTCATATGATTTAAGTTCATACCTCAAAATCTAAAGATATATTCTTATCTATGCCATTATCTACCCACCTATTTCCCATATATAATATATAATATTGTTCATTTGCTATGCATCTTATTCCACTTAAAGTTGAAGAATATTGTGCTGAGTAATATTATAGTGAGGCTGTGCCTCACTATATGCCTCATTATAGATTCCATTCAGATGAGGTGAACATGAAACATTCATCTCTGGTGCCAGGAACAAGGTCTGGTTTTCAGTAGATTCTTGGTAAATGCTGACTTAGCAACAAAATTAGGCATATAAATTGTGCATTTTTTGAGAGGGAAACCAGGCATAGGTCTTCAATGGCCAAAGGATGAAATATAAACTCAGGATACCAAGACTCAGACCAGCTACAAACTTCACTTCTTATAAGTAAATGCTGGCCCCTTTCATTCCTAGTGCCTTAATTTTTTTCTGTGTTAAAAGGAAAGTATGAAGGTCTAAGATAACATCTTTAACACCCCATGGAGTATAATGGTTGCTATAAATGGTCAATCTGACAATTTAGTATCAACAAGGAGACAAACTCTGAGCATGATGTTGAGGGAGTTCATAGATTGGGTCAACCCAGGAGGGATGACATACATTAACTCTGGACAGCACTGCCCTATGGCCTAGATTCCTGGATTCATTAAAGGATTGTGAGCTGAAGACCAGCATTTATATGTCTCTCCTCCTTGACATTGTCCACGATGTGATAGTCTACCTTACCCTTCTATGCTTTTTTGTGTGCTTATTTGATTATTTGGACAGAAATGAAGAGTATAGAAACAGCTGTTCTACACAAAGACCACCAGGAACATTTCAGAGTATAGATAAAATAAAGGATGCCTGAGGAGACCACATAGCAAACCACAGACCATGCTCACCATTCACATAGAGGCTATGCTTCTCCAGTGTATAGTTTCCCAGTTGGGTGACTCCATGGCTCAGGTGGCTCAGTTCTGAGTACAGACCCTGTGTATCCATTCCAGGACGTGCAGGGTCATGCTGGTAGGTGCAGGTGGTAACCACACTTGTGAATGTCCCATTCTTCTCAGGACTTAAAGAGAAAGGTGTAGAGATTCAAGGGAGGTCCTAATGTAGATGGAAGCCCCAAGGAAGGGGAAACAGCAGAAGATCAAAAGAAGTGATAGTTATTCTCAGGCAATTGTATGGAAGTAGAATCACCTGAGGGAGGTCAGTCTGCAACTTGAGTTAAAGGAGCTATTCTGGAACAGGGGCCCAAGCTGTGGATGAGAAAGGAAAAAAGAGAGTAAATGGTTGGGTGGAGGATACAGATGAAGTGAATTTTGGCAGCGGGGGTTTAGGAAAGAGGGTCTTACCAGGTGCTGTAGGACATTCTCAGTGGAGTTGAACATGGCTGAGCCACTGATCATGTCTGCTGAATATGGAAGGTTGGAGATGGTGAAGTTGATTGTGAAGGTTTCCAGGTGGTGCCACATAGCTGGAGGAAGACAGAAAGGTAAATACCTACAACTGAGTGTTTACTTGTCACAAGGCTGGAATACTGCTCTGATCAGATCATGTTCTCTACCATATGGTCTGTTATGATTATCCAACACTTACGTGTGCATTTTCTCCATAAAGCCCTCCTCTCTATGATGTCAGTTGTGCATTTTCTCCATAAAGCCCTCCTCTCTATGATGTCAGTTGTGTCTCCCTCTGACTTCTCATTGTACTGTAATCATCTGTTTATTTCATGAACATGGTGTTTGCATGAGGGCAGGCAATCTAACTTAATTGCTAGTCTGATTTTGTGCTTGTAATGATGAACCTGGTACTGGGCTCTCCACATCTCATGCTTCCTATCTCTCATGTGACAACTATTAGAGGTGTGGGGCAAGGTGTTCTTGTCAAGTGAAATAAAAGGGTCCCCAGATACCTGTATTGGACTCTGGCTGTAGAGATGTTGATGGGGAGGGCAAGATGGTGGTGGCTGGTTCTGGAGCTGTGGAAAAAGCTGTCATCAGGCATGGAGAGAGTGCCCTGATAGAGAAGCCCTTTTAGCATTGGTCCAAGTCAGACAAATCACCCACAAGAATAAGTGAAAGAGCAATCACATGAGTGGAGGAATGAGAAAAACCTGTGAATGGAATTAGTAAGATAGTGGGAGTGGTAAGAGAGGCTGAGCAAATGCACAGGTGTATATGAATACAGAAAATAGAAGAGGCGATTGCAAAGAACATATAAATGATAGGTCAAAGCAGAATGAAAACAGAGTTTGAGGAGGTAGAAGCAAAGCAGAATGAGCATGAGCATAGATAGATAACTAGGCAGATGCAGGGTTGAATGTATGATAGGAAGGTAGATGGATGAATGGACAAATAGGAAGATGGATGGATGGGTGGTTAAGTTGTTCACAGGGTGGCCGGAGAGGCATATGGATGCATAGTGAAAACAAGACAGAGAAAATGAGTGTCACAGACATTTGGACAAAAGAAAGTGTGTGGATATATGGGAGAATAGATTGACAAATGCATGGGTAGGTGGATAGATGAATTCATGGATAGATGATTCATGGCTAGATGGTTCATGGATAGATGAATATATCTGTATTTATGCATCTGTAGTATATAGATGGATGTGAAGATGTATGTATGGATGGGCAAATAGATAAGAGAAATGAAGGACAAACAACAAAGGACAGAAGTAAAGGATGGATAAGTAGGTGAATGAATATAGAAAGAAAAAACCAGAAGGCATAAGAAGGTTGTAAAAAGGTAAGCAGTAAAATATGTAGATAGTTGAGTGAATAGAAATGTAGTATCAAAGAAGAGGAATGATTAGGGAAAATGAAATAATGGATAGCTGAAAAGATAGGTAAACCAGTTACTGATTTTAAAAAGGCATTTGTAGCCTGGAGGTTTTTCTGGTCCTGCCTGACTCTGCGGTCAGGACGAATCTCTCCCACCTGCATCCTGGAGCTTCTTATAAACTAATCACTCAGAGGCTTAATATTATTTATAAACTGTATGGCCATAGCCTATGGCTCAAGCTTCTTGCTAGCTAGCTCCTACAACTAAACTCGGCCCATTTCTGTTAATCTATATGTTGCCATGTGTTTTGTGACTTTACTTGTGTGCCATTACATGCTGCTCCCTGGACAGCATGATGGCTTCTCTCCTCTCTCGTGTCTCCCCTTTTCCTGTCTCTGTCCTGAATTGCCTGCCTGCCTGTAAGCTGCCTTGCCATAGGCCAAAGCAGTCCATTACTAACCAATTGGAACAACACATATTCACAGCATACAGAAAGACATCCCCCAGCAGGAATTTTTTACCCCAAGCCTCTTAAGTAACTGTTACAACTTAGAATCTGAGAATGAAGTCCCTACTGGGGCCCCAGTAGCTTTTGTTCATGGGAAAAATAAACTAGAGTCACCATAGGCCTTCTGCCCTCCTAAAACTCTTGTTCAAACTTCTTTCTTTAACCCAGAGGAGTATGAAAAGTTCAGAAATCCAACGTGAGGAATGAAGGTCCAAAAAAGAGGCTAAGGACTCAACATTATTCATCTACTAAGACCTTAGCCTCTTTTGGGAGGCTGGTTTGTTCTGAGGTATGCTTTCTTTCTGAATGAGAAGACATAGATAGGCCAAAATACAGGCACATACTTGTCGGAGGGACATCTGGACCAGGTTCATTGTAACCTAGGAAACAAAAGTCATACATAAGTGGAAGGGTCATAGTGGTCCCATACACCATGCCATGGTACATGGGGGCCCCATTATGATACATTTTTTTTGTATACTGGGAATCTACTCATGTGCCCATATCTGACTTAAATGCCATCATGAACAATTTCTTGTTATTTCAATTAGATCTAACTCCTCCTTACTACTCAATAGCAAGAGAACAACAAGAGATCTATGCTTATATACTCCTATGTATGCAGTTATCCACACCATTGCTTTCCCTTTTAATGTACCTCTATTATCTATTGTTGTTACTGAGCACTCTCTGTGATACTCTATTTCCAAATGAAGCATATAATAATGAACAAATCAATCTTTACTGCACTGAAATTTACAATGAGACAAGGTACACATGAAAATTATTTGTTCCTGGTGTCAGGGCTAAGATTTGATTTATAGTAGATTTTGGTAAATATTGACTGGACAACAAAGTGATGCATTTAAACAGCACAGCTTATGAAGGTGGATCCTAAGTTTCTTCTGTGACAGAAGTGAAGGGATGAATGTAAGCCAGAATGTCAAAGGGGGAGCCTGTTCCTTTAATTCTCTTTGCCTCCGTTTTTCTTCTTGCTAAAATAAGAGAAATGGGGGTCCACATTGTCTCCTCTCTTCCATAAGTGTGTGTAATAGTTAATGCTGATTATCAGTTTTACTGGTCTTAGAATCACCTAGGAGACAAACTTCTGGGCATGTCTCTCAGAGAATTTCTAGATTAGGTTGTGATTAAAAGATCTGCCTGAACTGTGGGCAGCTCCTTATAATGGGCTGTGACTAAATATGTTGGAGATATAAGAGGACTTGTGTTTATCTTGTTTTTTCTTCCTGACTATTGGTGCTATGTGATCAGGTACCTCAGCTTCCTTGCCACGATGAGAGTGATTTCCTGACATTGGAAACTAAAATAAACCTTCTGATGAGTTGATGTCAGGTATTTGCTTACAGCAATTCAACACATAGCTACTTCATGAGGCAATGTTGATACACGAATGTAAGTTCCTAAGAATGATTTCCAGGTTAGGAAGGACAGGATAGGACATGTTGTGGAGGGGAGGGGAGCAGAGGAGAAGGGAGGGGGAAGGGAAGGCAGGGAATGAAAGGAAGAGAAAGAGGAGGACTGGCAGGAAAGGGAAAGTGGAAAGGAAAGAAAGAAGATGGGAAAGAAATAAGGAAAGGAAAGGAGGAAACTATTTTGACCAGTTTTTCTAGCGATACGTCTTGCATTTGAACATGCCATACAGGGCATATATCTTAGAAGCTGTTCTTTCTCGGTTTTATTCTGATATGTAGTGTCTGAAGATTAGGCCATTTGATACACTGATGCCTTTTCTTACATCTCCTGTGTGAGAAAACAGTCCAGGAGAGAAGTTAATCTAGTATCAAGAGTGAGAAGAAAGCAGGCGTTGAGACAAGTGTATACTCTTTATTTCTCCAAGAAAGACTGCTTTGTGAAGTAATTGCCTGAAGCATCAAATTGGCAATAACAACAGCACTCATGTTTGGATCCAAACCTCTCAAGTCAGGACTTGTTAAGGAGTAGTCTTTTGGGGTGTAGGTGGGTTTTGGGGTGGAAGCTTGCATTTGAACCCCTAAAGAACTGGGAACTGGGAAGTTTTGTAGCATGCAAGAGGGCCAGGAGATGGAGATGGAAAATGCTCACCATTGATGTAAAGGGTGTCTTTATCCAGGGAGTAAGGACCCAGCCGGGCGATTCCACGGGTCTGCCAGCTTAGGTCATAGAAAACTGATTTGGCAGGCAGTCCCAGACCAGTGGGAACCCGGTGGTAGGTGCAAAGGACATCTACCTGGGTCTGGGCACCATTCTTCACTGACCTGAGTTGGGGAGGAAGAGGTGTCCATTGAGGAGATTTTGATCGCTTGCTGCCTCTCCCTCTGTGGTCACTCTATACAGTGCATAGCCTGCACTTTGATTTTGTTGATGATGTTTGCTGCCTTGCTCGCTCACTTTCACAAATTAGGACTCCACACCTGTGGGTACTTGTGCCTGAAAGCTTCTCTCTTTGCACTATCCTCGGATTACTTACAGTTATCCCAATTTTGGCTTCACCGCCCCTTCTTCGCCTCCTTTCTCTTCTTTTCTCCCTCTTTACTCTCCCCTTCTTTCTCACCTTCCTCCTCCCTATTATCTTCTTCCTCCTCTTCCTCTTCTGTTTTCTTTCCTCATTCCCTTCTTCTCTTTATTCTACTTCTCTGCTCTTCTTTCCCCACTCTTTTCCCTTCTTCTTCTCCCTCCTTTTCTCTTGCTCTTCCTTCTCCTCCCCTTCACAGTCTTCTTGTCCTCTTTTTCATCCTATTCTTCCTTTTCCTTGTTTTGAAGCAATTTCTTTGGCATCAAAACATTCTATTCTGGTTAAAGGCTAATTATAGACTCAAAGTTTTAAAGAGAGGCTCAGTAAAACCAGAAAATAAAGAATGCAGCTGTATCAGAAAGCCTCTGAAATGTACTAGAGTCACAAGGCTCCTCCCTCCCTGGAGTTATCCAATCAATAAGGAGTGTTGAAGAGAGGAGAATGTTCAACCTGCTGAGACACTTTCAAGTTGTACAGAGAGCTCCAGTATCAAAGGTTTTATGAATTGTTATCCTCTTTCTCTTCACAAGTTAATTGTATCAGATAGTTCATTAAAGTAATCTGAAGTTTACTAATATAGATGGTAAATTTTGTGTTATTTATATTTTACTACAAAAAAAAGGAATCAAGGAGGGGAAAGGACTTGGTGGATAATAATGCTTGCTCTGCAAGCAAGAGGACCTGAGTTCTTTTTGTCTTTTTATTTATTCTTCTATCATACAATTACATCCTGACCACAGTCTCCCCTCCCTTTTCTCCTCCCTGTTCCCACCTTCCTTCTCCCACAGATTTACTGCTCTTCCACTTTCCTTCAGGAAAAATCCTCCCAGGGATATCCCTCCAAACATGGCATAACAAGATGCAATAAGACCAGGCACTACCCTCATATCAAGTCTGGATGAGGCAACCCAACAGGAGAAAAAGGAGGACCTGATTTCTAATTCTTAAGAACCCATATAAAAAAAATAGCCCAGTATGACTACATGTGCTTATAATCCAAGCACTGGGACAGGGGATATTCAGGAGCTCACTCGTCAGTCAGCCAGCCTTTTAAAACTTTTTGTTTTTGAGAAAGGGTCTCACTATGTAGCACAGGCTATCCCGGAACTCACTGTATAGACCAGGCTGGCCCTGAACTCACAGATCTGCCTGCCTGATTCTGCCTCCCAAGTTATAGGATTAAAGGTTTGTGTTATTACACCCAGCCTTAAGGTTTTTATTGTTTGTTTTTACAATTTCATATTTTTATTATGCAGTCATCAAAACTAGGGTCTTGTACATTCTTAATAAGTGATCTACAGCCAAGCCACGCCCATGTCCATAACTGGTACATTCTAGGCAGGGACTCTCCTGCTTAGCCACTCCACCACCCCACTACTGAGGGATTATTGGCAAGTACCCTATTGCTATAAAATAAAAATTGTCATAAAATCATTAAAAGACAAACAAAAAGTACACATCAATCCTAAGTGTTCCCATCATCACAACTTCAAGCCTTTTCAAGTATAATAATGGGTTGGTAGGGTAGGAGAATGGGACTGTAAGTGGAGAATGTGTCTCACCTCAGAGTGGCTACTCTACAGCCTGTGTATAGGGGGCCAAGGCTGCTCCTCTGAAACAAAGGGCGGAGCTGCAGAGAAAGAAGTGAGTCAGAGTTGGGTAGAGGCAGGCATCTACTTTAGGAGGGGAAGGAAGGGCCTGAGGGGAAGCAGGTAGCTCACCAGGTGCTGCATAAGTGTATCCGTGATGTTGAACTTGGGGGAGCCAACCTGGCCCATGTCGGCTGAGTAGCGTAGGTTGTTGATGGTGAAGTTCACTGTGAACATCTCCTCACTGACTTCCCCAGCTGTGCAGGTAGAAAGAGATAAAGCTAAAGCGGATATGACAGGAGATAGATGGGGATGGGGCCATTAATGTGCTTTGTAGTGGGTCTTCCAAGGGCTCCCTGTATGCCTCTCAGTAAATCCAAGGGTGACTTGTTAATGGAGGCAACTTTAGATGTCAGTTAAGGATGCCCTTGATGTGAGGAATTCTAATAGATCACTTCTACCCTCCCACCTTCCGTATATGGGGGTCCAGTATAAACATGGATCTTTGCTTCTTTGTGAGGGGAAAGGCCCATATTGCCTGCTCAGGCAGGACTGGTGAGTCCTAATGTCTGTCTGTCCCTCTCTTTTTCTCTCCCTTTCCTCTTCATCTCTTTTGCCCTTCCTTCTCCCCCTCTTACACTCTCCGCCATCTACCTGTTCCTCTCTTCCTTGCCTTCTCTTCTCTGTCTCTTCTTGTTCTCCTCCTTTCTTCTCTGTTCCACTTCCCCCCCTTTTCTCTCATTTCCCTCTTCTCTTGTCCTCTCTATTTGTCCCTTTCTCCATCACTTATTTCTCTTTTATTGAAAAGGTGTTTTAATTGATAAAATGTATAAAGTTAAGATCATTAATAATCTTACAGCCTACAATGATACATGATTTTACTTATTTTTCTAGAAAACATAATATTATAACCTTTGGAATGAGAAAACATTTAGCTTAAACATTTATTTATAATATTTACAAAATTAAGTTTTTCAAAGAAAGGTCTAACCATAATTGTTTCAAGTCCAGTTCATGAGAACACAGTTACAAGATCCCCATGAGAAAACTCTTCTATACGTCAAAACAGACTTCACTTTAAAAATCAACCAAAAAAAACAAAAAACAAAAAACAAAAAATTCCCCCCCCCATTTTTGCAGTTAAAGAAAACCTGTCACCATTAATGCAGAAATGGTGAATTAACCAAGGTTCCAAAACTTTACTTTTGTCTATTTCCTTTTTTTTTTTTTTTGGATATCTGTATTTTATTTTTAAGGTTTTTTTCTTTCTTCTTGTCTCTTCCTCCCTCCTTCCACCTCCCCTCCCCCCAATTCATCCCCCCCACCATTCCCACCTCCTCCAGAGCAAGGACTCCCCTGGGGATTCAGCTCAGCCTGGTAGATTCAGTCCAGGCAGGGCCAATCCCCTCCTCCCTTCACCCAGGCTGAGCAAAGTGTCCCAGCATAAGCCCCGGACTCCAAAAAGCCAGCTCATGCACTAAGGACAGGTCCGTGTCCCACTGCCTGGGGGCTTCCTAAATAGTTCAAGCTAATCAACTATCTTACTTATTCAGAGTGCCTGATCCAGTTCCATGGGGGCTCCTCAGCTTTTGGTTCATATTTCATGTGTTTCCACTAGTTTGGCTATTTGTGCCTGTGCTTTTTCCAAGCTTGGTCTCAACATCTTCTTGCTCATACAATCCCTCCTCTCTCTCCCTGATTGGACTCTTGGAGCTTCACCTGGGGCCTGACCATGGATCTCTGCATCCACTTCCATCAGTCATAGGATGAGAGTTCTATCACAACAGTTAGGGTGTTTGGATATCTGATCACTAGAGATCACTAGAGTAGGTCAGTTCGGGCTTTCTCTCGACCATTGCCAGTAGTCTATAGTGG